GAGATTAAGAGTCCATGCTCTCACCCCTGTGGCCCAGGTTTGTTTCCTGGTCAGGAAACCACACCACCCGTGTGTCAGTTGTCATACTTTGGAGGCTGTGTGGTGCTGTGATGCTGAAAGCTATGCCCTTGGTATTTCAAATACCAGCAGGGTCACTCACGGTGGACAGGTTTCAGTAGAACTTCCAGACTAAGACAGACTAGGAAGAAGGACCCGACCACCCACATCCACGAAAAAATGGCCATGAAAACCCTACGAATAGCAGCGGAGCATTGGCTGATACAGTGCTGGAAGGTGAAAGGATGGCGCAAAAAGCCCAGGCAGGGTTCCCCTCTGCTGTACACAGGGCTGCTAGGAGCCAGAATCAACTCAGTGGCACTAACAACAACAAACTGTAATCAGCTTGAGCGCTACTCATTTCCCCTTCAATCTTCTGGAAGATACATTCTATCTGACTGATCTTCATAACACTCACAGAACTGAGCACAATACCTTGCACTTGGCAATTGCGCTTGGCAATTATTCAGTAAGTAAATTAATAAATGCCGTATTTATTTTTTTTTTTTTCTTTTTCTCCCCAAAGCTCCCCAGGACATAGTTGCATATGTTAGTTGTGGGTCCTTCTAGTTGTGGCATGTGGGATGCTGCCTCAGCGTGACCCGAGGAGAGGCGCCATGTCTGGGCCCAGGATTCCAACCGGTGAAACCCCGGGCTGCGGAAGCAGAGCGTGCGAACTTAACCACTCAGCCACAGGGCTGGCCCCAATAAATGCTGTATTTAAAAACAGTACAAATGGAGAAGTGAAGGATGGCAAGAGTATCTCACACATCTTCATCCTCCCTCCTCTTCTCCCTCACCCATCCATTTAAGACATATTTGTTGCCTAACTGTTATACGTTGGGCACTCCGAAAACACCTAATGGTCCAGAAGTCATATCACCCAATACAAAAATAAAAGCGGCTCTTTTATCATCCTCAAAATACCTGCAACTTTTAGACACAAAATTAGTCCTTCCAAGATTAACATAAATACTATGCTACTGCTCCCAACAGACAAGATTTGTTAATTTCATGAGAAAAAAATTTAATTCATAAATGAGGCCCCAAAACAGTCTAATGCCTGGTCTTGGGATTGTTGGGACTCAAAGGGCATCTCCCCTTTGTCTCTTCATCTCTCTGATCCACAAAGGTTTACTGAATACGTACTAAGGGCCAAGGCCATTGAGGATGATGAGTGGAAAATGACAACAGTCCTTAGTATGACAGGGAAGGGAAACCAAAAACAACATTTCCAATATACCAGGTCCCTGGAAACTGTAAGGTTTAAAAGGGAACTAGGAATGTTCCTAGAGGACCTGGAATGTGAGCTGAGCCTACTCTCTGAGAAATCTGAAAACAGTAGAGTGTCTGCACTTCTCTTTTGCATAAGAGTTGGCGACAGGAAGCGGCAGGGATGAGAAAGAGAAGCTAACGGCCGTGGGCGCTCTTCATTCACACCCAGACAGCGGTCACTCACATCACCATTGACTGTCCATTTCTTCACAAGAATTCCAGCCTCTGCCACCAACCCAAGGAGAAAGACATTTCCTTTTCAAAACTAGAAAGAGTATAAAAGGATGTGACACAGAAAAAAGTATGTTATGAAATAAGGTGTCAAAGTATTTCACAGTCCTTGCAAAGAATGTTTGATAGATAGACTCCCCTTTCTGACAGACTGGGAAGATCCATTTCTCTACGGGAAGGGAAGAAGGAGCTCACCCAACCCCCCAACCCACGCCTGCTTGGTGGGAGAGGTGCAGTCCGCCCTGAGCTCGAGGAAACCCCACATAACCAAGGTGTTCGGGAATTCTCATCTGTCAAGCTATCTGTTCTTAAAAAGGTATGGCTGTTTGGGTCTATAAACACCACTTTTACAGCTTAAGTGTTTGGAATTCCTGTAAACTGCTCTTAATATACTTTGACAGTTTTTACCAAATGTTTTAGAAATTGAAAACTTTTAGTACTCAAGCGCAGGCCAGGGTGAAATATTTGTTATTCGACAATGAGAAAATAGCACTTTAGGGGTTTTTGGCCCTGGGGCAGTGGCAAAAATTAGAAAGACTGATGACAGGAGGTTGGACTGCCTTCTAAGACTCACCAAGGAAATGAACTTTTGAATGCAATGTAGTTCCTTTGAGAAATGTCAGCTTTTAGCCACAGTGGTGGGTGGATGGGTCCTTTCCTGGGACAGGAACAGACTAAAGGCTAGTGCATAAATTTAAGAAACACTTTGAACCGAATTAAAAAATTATATTTAATTCAGTCTCCTCCAGTACTTAATAGACTAGTCTTAAAATTCTATTAAATAATACCAACCTGTAAATGATGTAACACAACGGCAGCATCCATCTGCTACACTGACAGAATTTTTTCCATTAAATCTGATTCTATCACATTTGTTCAGCATTCACTTTCAGAAGCAAAAGCTAACAAAGTGCAAAAACACAATCATGATCCCCTTGAAGAAACTGCAGGGGAACTCAAAAGTAAAGCACAGAAATTCACAGAATAATAGCAGAGTTTCCTAAAAGACTTCCCCATCACCATCGGAGAAAATCCAGTAAGAACCGCACAGCAGGGACTGACAATCCAGTGGGGAGGGAATCTGTCCTCCACTTACTTCCATGCATCAGACACTGCACAGGTGTGACTGTGTGCCAGGCACTGTGCTAAGCTAAGCTTAGGGGACAAAGATCACACATTGTCGAGTGCAGATGGGTCGCGTTTGGTCTATGTGATTGTTTTTTTTTTTTTTTAATTTCAAGCAATGCTTAAAAGTCAGGAGATCTCACGGCAACATCCATATATCTGGCTTCTCTAAAAATTGAGAGCTCAGGAGCTGGCCTGGTGGCACAGTGGTTAAGTTCACACATTCCGCTTCTCGGTGGCCTGGGGTTTGCCAGTTTGGATCCCGGGTGCGGACATGGCACTGCATGGCCCGCCATGCCGTGGTAGGCATCCCACATATAAAGTAGAGGAAGATGGGCACGGATGTGAGCTCAGGGCCAGCATTCCTCAGAAAAAGGAGGATTGGCAGTAGTTAGCTCAGGGCTAATCTTCCTCAAAAAAAAAAAAAAAAATGAGAGCTCTAGCAACAGGGGTCAGCATTCCTTCACTGGCAACTTTCAGCTACAAAAGAGATGCAACTGACCCTGCAGCAAAGGACACACTTTCCAGCTTGCCGCAGTCCGCACCATGCCCTACTGCCACCTCAACAACAGCCAGAACTTCACTCATTTATGTCCCTGACTGGCCCTCAAGGTACTTGAGTTAGCCACACCCACTCCAGGAAAAGAAAAGGGACAAAACTGGCCCTTGTGGTTAAGAAGCTCAGAGTCGACTGGAGTTGGCAGATGGGATGATAAATTACAACATGGTACGATATAAACTACAGCAGGGAAACAAGCAGGGTGCAACAGAAACCTTAAGGAGGATGCGACTAATTCCACCAAGGGAAGTGGAGGTACCTAGCTAGGGCACCTTCACAGAGGAGAGGATATCTGGGGAGGGTCTTGAAGGATGAGAAGAGGTTGGTCATGTAGAAAAGTGGAAAGAAGTCACTCTACATGTGAAAAGAGGTAAGAGGACTAAAAAAACGTGGAGTTTTCTGGACACAGGGTTAGGCAGAAAAGGGGGTCTATTGCCTAGCATGCTAACAATGTTAACTTTAAGCGTGGGGCAACGGGGAGCCAAGAGAGTTATTTAAGTCTCACGTGTGGTACTAGCTTAATTTTGCTTATTGTCAAATCACTATAAACATGCCTAAACACAATCCTCGACTACCCTTCGATGTCCATACCATGTTAACTCGAGCTTTGATGCAAGGTCTGAAGGCGATAAAGACACGACGGGTCCAGAGAAGAATCATTTTACTCCATAGTCTACTGGCAGGTACATGATGACGCAACAGCACAAAAGGCCAATAGCAAGGACAAAAAAAGGAAATGAGACGGAAAAAACAGACATGTCTCCCCAAAACAGTGAAAATCAAACGTTTCGCTTTTCTCCCTTAAACTAAACCAAACCTCAAAAAAAGCTAAGATAGGCGAATCAACAAAGGGATTTTTTTTTCCACTGTCTCAGTTATAATAACCCCAAACAGACTATTTCCCAGACTTTTTATTGTTATAACAAACAAACCCATCTTTCACTTCTTGTCATTTGCAATTACCATGCCATAATTGAAAATCAGTGAATCATGATGGAGCTTAAGAGAGAGAGGGCACTAGCTCTGAGCTGTCACTGTCAGCATCACAGAATAAACGAATAATAGCAAGATTTCCTTCTTTATCATCTTTAACCTATATATTGCAGAGACTCCAAAAAATTTATACTTTGTAATTCCCCTCTTTCCCTAAAGATGGCATGATATTTCAAAGCATTTCCCCCTTCAAAACATTGCTTTTCTCTTCTTCAACAGCCAACAGGAAGCCCACACCAAAAGACTTCCACAGAATTTAGAATCTCTTCATCTGAGCCAAGAATCCAATTAAGAGAAAAATTATCTTGCAAGAGTTTGGGCAAGTCAGCCAATTAACCCTCTTGTAACTTTGCTGAGAAAAGAACCTGAATTGTCTAACAAAAGGCTTCACAAGTCAGAAAGAATAAGCTAGGGCAAGGGTGAAGGAGTCCAGAAATTTGGATCCTGTCTGCAATCCTAACCCGTTAGCAAAGCCATACAACGCCATACAACGCAATAACATTTAACTAATGTCCTTAACAATTTTTCAGTTTATAGACTTAAAATGGTCAACTGCAGAACTGTTGAGCTTATTCCTTGTGAACAAACTCTTTGTCAATGATCTGATGAAACCGAGTTGGACTCTGTAACGAAAAAGAAGAGAAACAACTGGCAGCGGTGTGGGAGAGGTGGTCCTATCCTGCCATCTGTTCCCCAGCCAGATGCTCCTGCCCCATCCCAACGCCCTCTACGGTCTGACTGGCCAGTTCGGTTGACTCACCTTAGTTGCTTCCTCCACACTCTCCCTCAGGGCCTGCAGCTCGGCGTCATACTGCTCCTTCAGTTTGTCCATCTCCTGGTCGTGGCTGGAAACCTCTTCTTTCAGGGCTCCCTTCAGGGCAGTGAGTTCACGCTCCCTCTTTCTCAAGAGGTCTTCCTGCTCCTCTTTGGCAATGAGCAGATCCTGAAGATCCTGTTTGGCCTGTAAGAGTTCCTAGAGAAAGGAAACGTGGACAGGGAAGATGAGGGTCCGACAGCAGCCCTCACCTCCTCTCCAGCGTGGCCACCCAGACACACGGCCCTGCTCTCACCCGTCCTCCCCACTCTCTCCTTCCTCACACTGCTCCCCATTTAGACCATCTCTTCCTCTCCCCTTTCACTCCTCAGAGGCCATCATTCCCCTTGATTTGTCTGCCTTAGCTCTTCTGAGATTTGATTTAATTTGAGGGAGAAAAGGGAAATTGATGTAACTTTCATTGCTTTGAGGAGACATGTCTGGTTTTTCCATCTCATTTCATTTCTGTGCAAAGGTCTGTTGCCCTTGCTCTTGGCCTTTACGTGCTGCTGCGTCATGAGGGACATGCCCACTTGCTGGCCTTGCGTACTTCACACGCCCCTGGAACCCTGCATGTGGTCAAACCCTTAACCCATGATCCTAGTACTCGGGATGACTCTGTCCTATTCTCTTTCTATCGCACTTGTCCATCTGAGCAGGGCATAATATTCACATTTTCTCCTTCTTAACTGCCAAGAGTTCATAAGGAAAGTCACAAAACTGGGGCAACAAGTTCCACTACAAATCGCATTACCTAAACCCAAGTATGTCCTGCCAAAAGCTCAGCATTCTTTTTACTTCGCCATCCTCGTCCGAAACCTGCTCAGCTCTCCTCAAGCTCGGGACTCGCCCTCTCCTGCAGGCGCCCTTCCCTCACACTTGGCTGGGACTTGGGCATGACTGCCTCAGCTTCCTCTCCACCCTGGCTCTTCTCTGCACTCCAGGCCTTCTCCCCACCCGAAACCACATCACAGACAATGAGCCGTCCCTTGCCAGCCTGCTCCAAGTCTTTTCTCTATCAGTTATCTTTATTTTCTCTGACATTTTGTTCTTTTCCATTTCCTTGAATCTATGTTCTTTCACTCAGGGCACAAGAATGCTGAGTCAAGGGCAAAAAAAGAGACCAGCTTTCCATAGTGGCTGTACCAGTTTGCATTCCCACCAACAGTGTATGAGAAAACAGTATGGGGATTTCTCAAAAAGTTAAAAATAGAAATACCCTATGACCCAGCCATCCCATTACTGGGTATCTATCCTAAGAACCTGAAATCAGAAATCTCAAGAGTCCGTTGCACCCCTATGTTCATCGCAGCATTATTTACAATAGCCAAGACGTGGAACCAACCTACATGCCCAGAAACTGATGACTGGATAAAGAAGATGTGGTATATATACACAATGGAATACTACTCAGCCATAAAAAAAAGACAAAATTGGCCCATTCACAACAACGTGGATGGACCTCGAGGGTATTATGTTAAGCGAAATAAGCCAGTCAGAGAAAGACGAACTCTATATGACTCCACTCATAGGTGGAAT